AGAGAGAGAGAGTAAGAGAGAACAAGCAAGAGAAAATGGTATATATAGTATGAAAAACAACATGGACAGCACACGGTTCTCTAAAAACCATTTCTACCTCCAGCATCTTCAAAGAAGAGATTAACATTTTTATTTTTAGCACCCAAAACTGCATACTTGCATTATAGACTGTATGTGTCTCGTGGCCCTAAGAAATAAAGAATTTGCCTGTTCGGTACCTACATTTTCATATCGAAATTACTCTTTTATACGTAAGACCGAAAACCCTTTTAAAAGCGAAGAAAAAAGATACTTTTAGTCACATGCTGAACAAACAGTTTTCCTTTTTAAAATCCCATTTGCATGTATCTATTTATTTTCTATTGTCATAATATAATAATAATATACTGTTTTAAGAATGGCTTCATAATCTCGGCTGACTTTTGCATAATATTTTCTTTTGATTTTTTAATGCACGTTTTTTCTTTTCAAAGTTATGTTTCTATTCTTGCACACATGAACATCTGTTACGGAAATGTACACAGTGAACTACCAGTTTTCGCTATTGTTTCGACGTAAAAAAATGCTTCCTATCCGAATCCCAACACCTCTGTACTAGCTTTCAACATTTCTTTGTCTTCACTAAGAAGTCTGTAATAGCTCTGTGGTGCTCAGCCAAAGATAGTACCTAACAAGATGGTCCACTCAGCTAGCCAAAAAAGTGTCCACGGAAGTCCGCTCATTGCTTCAGATGGCGCTGCAGTCTTTGTTTTGAAGCTCTCTTTCGTTGTTCCCGAAAAAGAATAGGAACAGCACCCATTTGCGTGCGCAGATTGGCTGATATGACATCTCGCCTCTCATTCTATTCGAATTAAACAAAGAGAAAAGTCGCTTTTTCCACCGGAAGAGGTTTTCTGTCAGCGTAACCATTAAAAAAAAGCGTTCTTCCGAAATTTGAATTCTAATTTATTTTAAAAGTTTTTAGTTTCACTTTGGGGTTGTTTTTTTTACGCAAGTAAGGTAACTCTGTTTGCAAAGTCCCTTCATTTGCGAACAGGGCGCTACCGAATTTTTAGGACACTTATTTAATTGGCTCAAAGAGATGGGTGAACCATCTTGTTATGTATGATCATTGGCTCAGCTGAAATTTGCAGATAGATCTGAAACAGTGCTTCTCAACCATGTTATAGTCTGCACCCATTTTTGCCACCTTTAAGAAGAAAACCTTTTCGTTCCGCCCACCTGCATTATTGCATTTCTAATCTAGAGGGGTATTCGATAACATTCTGTCTCAACTTGGACACCCACCCCCCACCCCAAACAGCTCATCAAAATGATCAAATCGCCCACTAGTGGATGATATCACCAAGGCTGGCAAGCACTGATCTGAAATATTATATTCTGCATCACATTCTTTTTTTAAATCCAACGAAATACTATATCAAATTAGTCTTTTTGATGGCTCGTATTTCTCTTCCCTCACAAACTTCGATTTTGACTTCATGTTTTTGCTAACCCTTGTATAGAAAGTTTTCATATCGTACAGTTTTACCTTCACTATGGCATCTTGCACTTGTACTAAAATGTACCCAATATCTACTATTGTTGATATAGTTCACATTCATCCCTATGTCGACAGAACATGCATTCTTTTTTCAGTGTTTTCTTAACCGAAGTCGCACACAAAATACAATTTATATACCAACATGTCATAATATTCATGATTTGCTTGATGATTTGAGGTTGCAAAAACACCCATGTTTGATTTTTCATGAAAACTTTGCTCTCAAGCAAAACTAGCTCATTTAGAATCTCATCTTTTTCATGACACGCGTCCCCCCCCCCTACTTTTCCCCCCTTTTTCTAATTCTTTTAACCCAATTTCCACTCTCTCTCTCTCTCTCTCTCTCTCTCTCTCTCTCTCTCTCTCTCTCTCTCTCTCTCTCTCTCTCTCTCTCTGTCTTATCC